GTACAGAGAAAACCCAGAAATTTAAAGCCTAGTACATAAAATTTAAGCCCAAATTAAGTAGTTTCTCTCTCTCTCTCTCTCTCACATGTGCCCTCTATACCTCCCTCCCCCCAAAAATACCCAAATTATTGAATGCCTTCCAGTAAATATGCTAGCCTCTGGCCACATAATGCTAAACAAAATAGTCATAGTCTATCAGCAAATATAAGCAATCATACAATTTGTAATCAGTAGGATAAGTAATGTCATCAGGGAAGTTCGAGGTGCAATGATACCCGTGGAAGGTCTTTCAAGGCTAGTATATGGAGTGGTGATTAAGGCAGCTGGATCCCACATAGCTGACTTTGTAGCTTGAGTTCCAGACCCAGTGGCTTGAAAATAACACTGGGCATGTGTGTGTATATGTGCTAAAAACCCTGAGAGGAGAACAAAGGAGAGGGGATTGCAACACGGCCATTCCCTCAGGAAGGAATGATTTCTCACCCCCCTCCCAACCTCTGTTTTTCTCTAGCAAGTATACATACCCTATAGCCAAACTGAAAAAAAATAAAGAGAGAGAGAGAGAGAGAGAAGGAAAGAACAAAGGAAGGGAGGAAGGGAGGGAAGGGAGGGAAGGAAGGAAGGAAGGAAGGAAAGAAGGAAGGAAGGAAGGAAGGAAGGAAGGAAGGAAGGAAGGAAGGAAAGAAAGAAGGAAGGAAGGAGGGAAGAAAGGAAGCCCTTCCTACACTTTGGGGAGATCTGGTAAATTTTCTAAATAAAATCATGCCTATGCTAAAAACAGAGGAGTAGAGTTAACCAAGCAGAATGTTTGAAGTCCCATATGCATAGTCGGCATAGTATACAAAGACATAAAATAAGTTTGGTAGTATTAGAGCCTATGCTATAGAAGATGTTGGTCTAACAGCTGGAGAGACATGGTTTCCCAGGAAAAATAGTAAAAGATGAGGCTGCAGAAGTAAGCAAGACCTAGACAGAACATGAAAGACATTGAAACTATGTAAATTTGCAATTTTTCCCCTCTTTCAGATAAAAATGACAGAATGGGTGGTCATTCAGTTTTATGTGGGGGAATACTATCATTGAATTTGAGTTTTCTGAAGACCATTTTTGCTGCAAAGTGTTGAATGTATTAAAGTGGGAAAGACTAGAGTCAGAAAAATCCATTCAGAAGTGAAAAAAATCATAGTAGCCTATTACAGAGACATGATAGCAGAAATGGTGAAAGTAAAATAAGTATATCTGAGAGCCAGGAAGATAATGACAGTCAGGGAGCATTAATGCCTCATGTAAGAGAGGACGAGGGACACTGAAGAGTTGCAGGTGATGTGCAGTGTCCCTGCTCCGCCAGCCTCCTTCCACAGGGAAAAATGTGCGCCAATTTGAAAAAATTCTTAACAAGCTCTGCTTTGCACAAATAAAAGTTTGAGTTGCAGGTGGAATACCTAAGCAGCTACATCCATGGGTAGTTGAGCTTCTGATCTTTATGGCTCTTAAGGAAGAAACTATAATGGCAGGTGGAGAGTAATCAGAGCTACAGAGTAAATGAACTTCATCCCAGATGAGTCTGTACTGCAAGATAGAAAAGAGAACTCTGCCTAACCTCAACATTGTATAAAGAGGTAGAAGAAAAGACAAGTTGAAAAAGGAATTTGAGAAGTGACAGAGAGGAAGAAGGAAGATCAGAGAGTGAGATGAAACAGGATCAACAAAGAAGAGTTTCAAGAAGAAAGATGTGGTCCACTGTACTAGAACGAAGAGTCTGAGACCACTTTGGAGATTTGATTGTCTAGGTCTTACTCATGTGTCTCTATTCCTAACCCAGAGGTTGGCATAGGGCATACACAGGATGAAAGCATCTTCCAGCCATTCCCAGGTGGAATGGGAAAAGGCTGAACAGAGATTGCAGAGAAAGTCACATCAGACTTAATCTTTATACTCTCTTGAGACAGTGGTCTAGAGAAGAAACAGGACAGGTATATACAACAGTTGGCTGATCTTTTTGTATTTTTTCCTTCTTTTTAAAAGAAATGAGCAAAAACTGATATCTAGCAGAACACATGTATTGATCTTCACAGTTGACAAAATGCTCTCAGTAGGCTATTCAGCTTTCAGCCTCCAATCACTGTTGAATGCCACCATCCATATTAAGAATGTGAAAACAGAGATGCATGGATATTGAGTATATTACTCAGGATCATGCAACCTAGTGGCAAATCTAATGGTGAGTTTTGTTTTCTTCGCACTGCACTATACACCTGCATAAAATTAGCGTGTGCCCATGGTCTTTGCATTGATTTTTCTGCATGCTTTTTTGCTTCTTCTCTTTGGGCCTGCATGTCCTAGAAAGAATTGTAGGGCTCCATTTGTACAATGCTGGGCTTTTTCCACATGCAAAGAACAAGGCTGACATAGTTCATTGGGTAAACACAATCGGCAAGTGACAGTGATTTACGCCCAACTTGCAACTCCTGATTACCAATCTGTCGCCTGCTATGTAAACAGGTGTAAACCAAGATTTAATCAGTTTACACAGTGTGGTAAATAATTTAATCTCTCCTCAGCACGGTGCTTGCGAATGTAAATGTTTAAGCCAAAATGAAGGCTGACATTGTGATGTAAGCGTCTGCGTCTGCTCTCTCGGCCAGCAAAACTATGTCCACAAAAGGCTCTCAGGTCTCCCTAGCTGAATCAGGGATGCAGGAGTAAGGCAGAAGCCCCCCAACTGCTGGTGGAGGCCTCATTTTTTCCCAAAATAAAGCTCAGGCATGGGTCCAGAGAGCTTGCAAGGTTCTCTTGACTCCTAATTCTTTCTAGACCTGAGTCATTCCTCTCCCCCTCAATTATTCTTCTTTAAAAAATATTTATTTAATTTTATTTCATAATTATTTTATTTTTATTTGACCAGAGAGAGATCTCTGCAGAACAATATAGTGAAGAATAATTGGGGCTGGCAGGTGGCATGGTGGCTGTTGGTGGGTTAAAAGACAAGAAATGAGAAGGAAAAAGGCAAGAAAACAGCGTTCATCAGGCTCCTTGTAGTAACGTTCTCAGTTGAAGATTACATGGGTACTCTGCCTGTCCACACAAGCCTATGCAAATTGCATTCAGATCCTATAAAAATCACATGCAAATGTACTCGTGGTTGTCAAAACCTGTTTACTGCACCTGCTAGAGTCCACTGAACCAGAGTGCTGCCTGTCATGAATTTTTCATCAGTGTTATTCATCTCTAATCAATCTGGCTCTTGCCCCTGGTTGAGAGAGAGCAGGAAGCAGGCTTGCTCTTCCCTCCCAGGTAAGAGTCCAGGCTTTTTCTGGAGTAGAAGGCCCTGGTGAGTCATAGCTTTACTGGCCCCATCTTAACGTTGCAGGGAATCTACTAGAAGAAGGGTCAGTGTGAGGTAGAGAGTACGCTTCTGTGTTTTCTTCTGTACTCTTAGAGAATTCTAACTTACAATCAACGTTTAAATCACTTGGTATTTTTGATAACCCCATGGCTGAATTTGTCACTTCAAAAACTCTTTTAAAAGAATACTTACGGTCAGGATTTGAAGTCCTAGGTAAGAAATGAATTTGATTTTCTTCTGTACTTAAATAATTTATGGCAGAGAAAGAATAGCTACTATTTACTAGATATGGGAGTTTCTTTTGCTGACAGCTTTTTGTTTGTCCAGAAAAAGTTTCTTTTTCTGAAATCATTTATTGAGCAACTGGGACAAGCAAGGCACTGGGCTGAATATGCATTATTTCACTGAGTGCTCAACTCAACACTCCGAGAGTGGGAGCCTCAATTTATAAGAAAGGAGACTGAGATCTGGAGAGTGAGGTAAGTTGCCTGAGATGCTCAGCTGATGTGTGTATGAGGACTTGAACCCCAGTATGACTCTTAGAAACCCTTCCTCTGAAAGTACACAGAAAAGGTTTTGTTCTTTCTGATCCCCTGTGCCCTCCTGGCTATGGGTCTAGAAGTGTATATACATAAAGGAGAAAGATTATAATAAAAATATTGATAACTAAAATGTGTTGAGTTTTCTGTTTTTTCATTTTATTTCCTTCAGGTTTTTGTCATAGGGTGCGTGTGCTGGCTGGAGAGGCAGTAAGAGGGAAGGTGAGCAAATATCTCCCCGGGGGTAGGAACATGCTATTATCCCTTCTCCTCCATTCTCCTCCTAAGATTTTGGGCACACATGCACATGCACCTGGTGTGAATTTCAAGCCACCAGGCCCAGAACTCAACTGCAGCTGGCCATGTGTGAGTCCAGTGCCTTAACCATAATGTCATCTGCTGGCCCAGTACATTTATTTTAAAAACAAAACACTCAGGGCATCATAGTTAAGGTGCGTGCTGGGCTCCCACATGACTGACTATGTGGTTTGAGTCCCAGACCTAGAGGCTTGCTTTCTCAACCTCCCTTTTTCTCTCTCTGTATCTCTCTGGTAAACTTAAAAAATAACAAATAATAACAAAAAAAATCAATTAAATAAATAATTCTTTAAAATAAATGCATTTACTGAGTTGTATGTTTTATACATATGAATTCATTTAGTCTCTACACTGGCCCTGTGAAGTAGATACTATTATTATTACCATTCCCTTTATTGAGATAAGAAAACTAAGGCAAAGAAAGATCCCCCTGCCCCAAGTGTCACACAGCTAAGAAGTATCTGAACTGAACTGGACACTAGTTTCTCCCAGTTAGTAATTGTGAGCTGCACTGCTAAGGATTCAGGTGACGTGCTTAACCCTCAGGAGGCTCTTACCACTTACTTTCAAGAAAAATGATAATTAGGGCAGAAGAAGAGGACAGAATGTCTCTAAGAGAGAATTCCTTTACAAAAGCACAGCAGGTCACCTGCCTGTCATGACTGGAGAAAAGACCCGCCAAGCTCAGGCAGCCCATCAGGGCTTAACAGTATTTACCAAACAAGGGTCTGGGATTTGCACATGAGGAACTGGGAGCAGGGTAGATAGGACTGCGAAGACAGGACAATGCAACTTACTTCCTGGCTGCACTCTCTGCACTTCCCATGATGTAGTAGCCTGGGTGGCATTCGTATCTGCAGACGGTGCCCACGTCGTGGTTGCCTTTGAGGCAGTGAGGCAGAAGCAGGTTGGCGTTCGGAATAACAGGGGGGGCACCGCACTCCAACTTGCAGTAGACTTCTGGGAGAGACCAGAGCCCATCTTCAAGACAGGTCAGCCACGGGCTCAGTCCTGACTCCAGGAAAGAGGAGTATAGGATACTCAAAACACAGAGTCCACAAAGAGAATGACAGCACAAAAGAGGAGAATCTATCCACATATGGACATCTTCAAAAGTTATATTGTTTTCTTGTTGTTGAGCAGAGTCTAAAATCTTATTTCAGATATTTATCCCAACGGAGTATCCAATGTGGTATCTTGCACAGAATAGAGACCAGATAAATATTTCTTGACCTGAATAAAGGAAGAGCTACCAACCAAGTCGTGACCTCTTTTCCTATGCACAAATAATAAAAATACAGTGGTGATGCTACCACGGAAAACATTCAAGTAATAAATGATGCTTTCATAGTGTTTATTACGTGCAGGCTCTGTCCCATGCATTTCACATGCATTCACTCATGTAAACTTCAAACCTCAGACAATCCTGTGAAATCTTAGAGTTTGCTATTATCCTCTATCATGTAGATGAGGAAATGGGGGTTTGATAAATTGCCCCACCTAGGAAGGGACAGAGTTGGGATCTGAACCCAAGCAGTCTGGATGCAGAGTTCCATATTTACACACCACACCATGTACCTCAGTGCAGTTCATAATTTCTCAAAATGAGATTCCTGGATTACTCACAAAACCATCACCAACCCACCCCAGATCTACTGAATCAGAATCTGTGGGGTGAAGGCTCAGGAAAATGCATTTGTGACAAGACTCTCCTCAGCTTCCTGAGGCAAAAAGCAAGCTGTGGGGTTAGAGCTGGTTCTATCCCCACCTTCATCTTCAATGAGCAGTCCAGCTAGGGACAGATTAAGTAACTAACTGTGTTCTCCTCTATGAAACGGGAATAGACACTAACTCATAGGATGATTGTAAATACTGAGTCTTAAAATGTACGTGATAAAGTGAATCTTAATATTATCAGAACAGTTGTGCTAACTGGCTTGACTCTGATGTGCATGTAACCAAATAAAAACAGAGGGAAGTCTAAGTTTCTTTCATTGATGTGATCCTAGGCCAGAGTGCCCTCCCAGGTAGTCAGGGACAAAGAATGGTGTTGCCCTTTGGATTTTGCTGGTGTTATCAGAACAGAGTGGCACAGTGGAGTAAAGGGAGAAGAGTATTGGGTGAAGGAAAGAGCCTCAAAGTAACCTCAAAGAGCAAGGGACTGAAGAGAATTTGCCTAGGGCTTCTGGCTAGCCAAACCATACCTTGCAGCTTGGCTGGTGGCACACAGGAAATGGAGCAGCGTTTCAGAAATTTGGTTCCTTCCAAGCAGGAGAACGTTGCATAGTTCACCAAAGATGGGTCGGGCACACCACAGTCCAGGGGCATGCAGCTCACATCCCAGTCCCAGTGCCCAGAGGAGCATGTGAGCAGAATTTCTTTCTAGAAACAGAGAGTTTGTTTTTGTCAAGGTCACATAAAAAGATTTCTCAAAGTTGTGTCCAGTACCAAAATTATTTGTTCAAACATTTGAAACAGGCAAAGGTACTTGCCTTCCTCTCCTGTGTCTCATTTTTTTAATACGCAGTCATATAATATCCAAAAATGAAGCTAATGAAAGAGGGTGTGGGTGTAAGAGAACATGTGCCCAGGGACACTGGCCCCACAGGTTCATGCCTCTTCCTTGTGCTTGGGTTCAGCCCCTGCGATGCAGTGGCAGGAGATTACAGAGGCCAGGGTCTTTGCTTTTCTACTCCTTCCCGAGGGGGCTGCTTCAGGTTGGCTGTGTCCTGAGGTAGCTTTTCCATACAGCTTCTGCTCTTTCTTCCTATAGGTTCTGCTTCTCCCTACACTCAACCATTCAGGCCTTGGAATAACCACTGAGCCCCTCCACCCTGGAATCCTGCACCATTTCCTTGTAATCCCCTATATCCTGCTCCCATCTTTATTAAATTATTTCAAATCACACCCTTTGAAGTATGTCATGTATTTCCTGCTGGTGTCCTTATTATTAAGCCTACTGATAATGCTACTGAAAATAACTACCTCCACTGAGAATGGTACACAGTACGCAAAACCATCTGAGAGTACATGCATATAAGGCACCTTCTGAAACTGGGGGTGAAATAAGAGAGAGTCTAGCCATTTCCTGGACTTGCCATTTCAG